TATTGAAATCATTAGGGAGTTTTTTTATCATACTTTTAAACTGAGAAAAAAATGATAATTTTCGTGCTTTCTTTGAATGGAAACTCATTTTTCTTGCCTATTAAACACTTTTTGAAACTAATTTATTGATTGAGACTACTTGAATGGCACAAAAAAATCGATTCCAGCCTAAATTTAAACTAAAGAGAGTCCTTCACGCTCTATTACTTTGCCTTTTGTTTCTTAGAAAAAAACAAAAATGAAATCCTAAAAAAAGTAAAAAAATTTGAATTTTACTTACACTCTTTTTTTCTCTTAAAAAAAGATAAAAGAATAGTGGCCTTTTTTGTGAAGCAACTATGAAAAAACCTTTCTTTCATTATTGAACTTCTATATATTTTCTTCACACTTTCTTTACTTTGTCTTAAAATATATATTCCAGAAGCGCTTCAACGTTTTAAAAAAACAAATTTGGTGGTTTTCTCATTTTACACACACAAACGCACCACGTAGCGGTTTTAAATAAACTACCTTTTTTTGAATAAATTTTTGTTGCAACTATGAAAACGATAACTTTTTTGAATGAACTGCTTTTTTCGTGAAAACTACAGAAGACGATAAAATTTTGGAACGAATTACTTTTTTCTTAGCAATTATAAAAAAAGATTTTTTTTTTTTTATTCTCAACGTTTGAACGACATTTTTTTTCCTTCTCCACACACAAACGCACCACGTAGCGGCTTGCGGTCACCGAATTCGTTTTGCGGCCGGAACGACGTGTGTCTTCTGAAAAGGGGAAAAAAGGCGTTTATCATTCGTTTTCGGCGTCTTTTTCCCGCCGCGCAACTCACCCAAACTGCTGCTGCTGCTGCATTTGTAGTGGCGGCGTCTCGGAAGAACATTCGTTTTGTTGCTGAATATGTATCGACTTCGTCAGACTCGGAAAAAAAAAAGGGAGAGAACTAATATGAAGATCAAAGTGATTACGCAACAGTTTTTCAATTTTTTCCTTAATAAATCTTGAAGTTCTGTATTTTTCAGAATGTTTTTTCTAGGGGCCAAAAGTCCGCTGGTAAGAAATTTCAGTAAAAGGTAAAAGAGACAAATGTCAAAAACATTGAAAAACAGATATTTTTTTAAAAATTAACTTCGTGCGGAAATGAAACAAGGATCCTTGGTTGAAAAAAAAATAGATACGGTTTCTGAAAAGGCTCTTCTCTTCAGTGAACTCTTTAATAAACTTTCCTGGTTTTTTTAATCTTCCGAAAAATTTAAATCGTTAAAATGGTTTTTTTCAATATCAATCATAAATGACCTCGACTACTGTATTTTTCCAGTTTAAAAGGACAATTTTCCGTTGAGAAGGACTTATTTTTTTAATTTTTTTATGAGAAAAAAATACGCGTTTTTCAATCAAAATTCTTATTATATATACTTGAAACAGACTAAAAATGTTTAAAAAAAGTGGTCCTAAAAAAATTAATAATCTTCAAAAAAATAAGAAAAAAAGCCCTACAAGTTATTTTTTTCACATCATCCATTGAAATAATTTTTAAACTATGGAAACCAAAGTTTTTGAAGTTTAATTGTTATAAAGATCCCAGAAAAATATTGGTACATTTTCTGAAAAAAGTAAAAAAATCTTTCAAACCTTCCCATATTTGTCATTAACCACAACTTTCCAGAAACTGTGAAGTTTTGCAATGGAAAGGTTCTTCAGGCGTTTTATTTGAAAATTGAAAATTTTGAAACCTAATTGAAACCAAAACCACATTCAAATCGTATTTCTTCACTTCAACCAAAGTATATCGACCGTCTGACGCAAATGACGCGACTACATGTTTTAAACAAATCGCGACATCACGAGATCTTTTTTTTCCTTCTCTGAAACAAACCACCGTTCGATTGATACCTTACCCGCATTCGGGCCGTCAACTTTTCACGGAGTTTTTCTGCGACGGCGCTGTTCAAGGGGCCTTGATGACCTGAAAATTGAAGAAAAGTGGAGAAAAAATAAGGAAAAAAATCTCAAAAAAAAGAGGAATGAAAATTTTGAAAAAATCCATCAAATTCAGGCAAAGAGAAGAAAATATAGAATGAAAAATTTGGGATCAAAAACTTCTAAATTAGGCCTTCGGGTCAAAAAACTAGAAAAATGGGTTTGAAAATTTCCCCTATGAGCAAAGAACAACAGAAAAAGTTCTAAAAATTTAAAAAACTTGAAAAAATCAGGTAAAATAGGTCCAAGTCGCCCTTAAAGTATAGAGTTAGAACAACACTCTCTGAACTAAGATTTTCCCAAAAATCAGGAGAAAAGACAAAATTCAATGGATTACAACTAAAAATCATAGTTTCCTACTAAATCCAAATTTTATAAAATTTGTCTCCTCACTTTTTGCATTCGAACCAGCTTCAAGGTTTCCACGAAGGAATTGCGGCTGTGAATGGCAGGAAATTGGTTCCTGGAAAAGAATTCCTTGTTGATATTTATGCAGTGATTCTGGAGTAGACTGAACATGGAAAATATTTAAAGAATCGTCTAGAAGTAAAAATAAAACGGGGAAGAACAGGAAATCAAAAAGAAAAAAACACCTTTTCAGAATTCAAAAAAATGGCACTGCCGGTAAAAGTCGGCTGCTGCACCGAGACGGTTCTGCGAGGCACGAGAAATTCTGAAAATAAATCACCAAAAGGTCATTGAATAATCAAGAAAATTGGCGAAAATTTCGGTTAAAAAAATACTTTCAATGAAACTCTATTGATGACACGTTAACAGTGAAATGAGAAAAAAAAATATTTTCTCAAATTTTATCAAAATTCACCAGTCATCCGTTCAAAAAATCTAAAAGGACCTGTTTATTTTAGAGAAAAAAAACCCCGGGACGATAAGCAAAGCAGTGGGTAAAAAAAGAAAGCTTCAAAGTAACTAAAAATCTTTTTTCAACACAAAGGGCACTAAATCTTTATTCTAATATTTCTCTCTCAGTTCAAAAGCTAACAAATTTAATGCGAAAATGAGCATTTTGAGAGTTTTCTGTACTTCAAGGAGTTATAACTTGACTACAAGACAAGAATAATTTTTTTTAAAGTTAAGGGTACTTCGAAATGGTTTCCGTGAAGTTCAAGCCTGTTCTCAAATATTTTTCTTGTTTTTTTTCAGACTTGATTGAGATAAATCTTCTTCAATATAACCACTGTCCTGTGATAAAGAAATATTGAAATGATCCATGAAATTTCAAAGAAAGGGCATGATAAGGGGAAAACATACAGTAACCCAAACTTCAACGCTCAAACCAATAACAAGGACGGTCATTTCCCTAGGCGGTTGAGAATTTTGCTGGGATTTGTCCGAAAAACTTTTCGATGAAACAAAAGGGAAGATTCTGAAAGTATAAATCTGGAAAAGTTCCTAGTTTTCAAGAAATAGGCGCTTGACGCCCAAAGTAAGCCTATTTTCCGATTTTTGAAGGCTTCCTTCGACTTCCAGGTCTCCTTTCTCAAAAACTAGAAAATTGTGCAGGTTGAGACTTCCAGGATCCTCACGAGGTACATCAAGGAGTTTACTGACTAAATTTCAAGGAAAAAGGAAAATGACCATTCTTGTAAAACCCGAGAGAAACAAAACAAAAAAAGACCAGAAGAGTCGTGGAAGGGATTGGGTTGCGAGGCGTAATGTTGGGGCAGCACGTTGAACATTCCCATCACGTTATTCTACAAGCACAGGGTCATCAAAAAGGCCATTATTTTTGGCTCGAAGTGCAAAGAAATACCGTCGGCGTGGGAATACTCGTCGCTTGACCGAAGGAGTCTTCTGGAAAAATCGAAATTATTTTCAAGAACACCAAGATCACGATTTCTATAATTCTAAGTTTCGAAATGACATGACTCAATTCAAAAATCTTCACGAGAGTTTGATAAAGAATTAATGGAAAATTATGCATTAAAAAAAATTAGTAAATTAATACAGCTGAAAAAATAGAGCAGGAGCTGGAATAATTTGTCAAACGCGTTAAAAAAATACAATACAAATCCATTTTAAAGTACTTTTACGGACAATTTCATTCAAAATAATCAGTCAACAAACCTGGCGTATAACCTGCAGTACCTGCCAAGGTAACACTGAAAAATTCGATGAAATTTCCAATCTCTTGTCAAAAACTAACTCATTCTCCGGACACTCGTCTGTCACATGCGTCAAATCCAAGTCGAGATCATTTCCAGTGGGTTTTCCTTCAGAACTTGAAGCAAAAAATTGAAAAACTGATATTCTACCAAAAATACCCATCGCTCATCATCCAAGTGTTTCTCAAAACATCCGATATGTTGGAATCTTCGGCCATCCTTTTTCTGAGCCGATCGGTACCCTCTGAAAAAAGGAAATGAGCAGAACGAGAAATGGCGTGAAAATCTTCCGAACAGAGTAATTTCAAGTCACGCAATTACTATTGAAAAAAAGAAAAAATTGCAAAACTACTATGTTCAGTAACGAGTTTACCCAAGAAAATTTGACCAACCAATAATTGCAAAAGCTTGCAAAAAATCCGTTTCGCGGGGTTTAAGATTTTCTGAAATTCTTCAAGTGAAGAACGATTATTAAGCTATTCAAGACTTCCAAAACCGTATAAAAAATTTTTGGACAAACTATATACGGATTTAAAACCGGGAACAGAACAAAAACATAAAAAAAATGAAAACAAATGAAAAAATAAAAAATTCCACGATGGGCGTCGAATGCACAGAAGGCGTTGAAATTTACGACACTTTGACTACTGTAACTTTCTGTTCAGTTGTAGCGCTTTCAAAATTGATTACTTTAATCACTCTAGAGGAGAAAAACGTTTCGATGACTTAAATAAAAATGAAAACAGCTCTCAGCTTTATTAATTATGCTAAACTATATAGTACGCTTTAAAACCGTAAAAAATTTCAAAGAGAGAAAGAGAATATTTGGAAAAAAGAAAGCTAAAAAAAAATCGTACAAGCCGTATCTACGAGGAAACGCGGCAAAAAAACGTGACAAAATGATTAGAAATGTTATGTTATCTCCGATCAGATCAGCGCGAAACGAAAGTTTACAGGAAACAATTTCTCAGGAATTTGACGGTCTGGGAAGAAAGAAAAGAAAACAATTACTACGATTGGGCTTCGTAATCGAAATTTGTGATGAATTTGTTTCATTGATAGAAATTCAACCAAATAAATCCGTTTTATTTTAAATATTTAATGAGACGATCTACAAGAGCAATCGTTTAAAAAAAGAAAGTTCATATAAGAATGAAAAAAATCTAATTTTTTTATGAAATCAACACATGCGCTTCCAAGAGTTCATCAAAAATTTTAAAATTACATAAATGTTTTAAATATTTCACTGATATCTCCATATTTTGATCCTTCCAGATCCAATTTTTTTTCCCGTTTTCGATGATTTTATCAATTTATTTTCATTATAGTCTCGAAAAAAACGAAAAAAGACAAAAAGTGTGACTCAGTCGACGTGCAAAGCATCCATCACATGGCTGAGGTGACGACATTGGGTTCGGTCTTGTTCAGACCATGCCTTCAAGCCAAAGCCTCGGACATTGCACAAGGTTCTATCATCGTCAGCAAAACTCCGCTCGTCGCGCAAGGGTGTCGAACGCGCGACCTATCAGGCAAACGTCGAGCGTGCTGGCACTGCGCCAGGCAGTCTCCCTTGTAGGCGCTGGCCAACAGGCGTGCCATAGTACTACGATGGTGCAGGGCATTTTGAAACGATAATGAAAAAAAAAACAAAGTTTGTCGAGAGAACACTAAAGTGGTCATTTAACTGATCCTTCGTGTCGGCTTTCCTACCTCCGATTTCAAAAATATTCTCTAAAAACTAAACTAGTGCGAATACATTTATTAAATTGTATCAAAAACAAATATTCAAGTTTAAAAAAATGCAGAGATCACAGAGACTCGTATCAAAGAATGAGCTTCAAAAAATCAGGATTAAAATCCAAAATTAGAAGAAAAAATAAGCCAAAAAGTTCAGAAATAAAACAAAAAAGCTCATTTTCCATGATGAAAGGTTAAAAAGTCTAATCGATATAATTAAAAGGATAGAAAATTTAAACTGAAAAGAATGGAACGATAAGGTACATTGAAACGCGAAGAAAAAGCTTGGAAAGTTAACAAAACATATGAAAAATAAATAAAGGATTACTGTACTTTCAGGGGTTTGACCTACAAGAAAAAAATAAAAGCAATAAAATAGACTCAATGTGTGACAAGCTATCGGTGAATGAAACCAGAAACTTTTAAGAAACCAAAATCAATATTTAAGATGCCAGAGACCTCATTGACCTTCATCCTCGGGTACAATGTCATATTTATGTTCAAACTCGGAAACAACCGAGCTGACGCGTCCCAGGGACTGCAGTTCGACGTCTTGTTTGCTGATTTGGCGATGGATCGACTCCGGCGACATTTTCGGCATGTTCGCCGGGTTCCTCAGCGTGATGTAGCCGTAGTTCTCGTCGTCCGAGTTCAGTAATGTGGTGAGATCGTCGCGTAGCTGCAGAAAATTTGACTTTTGATGCACAAATTTGTGTTTTTTATTCATTTTTTATTTCCTTCTTTTTTTTGATGCTTTCTAATCTCCAAAATGGAATAACTCTATTAAAACCGCTTTCAAAACCGAATTTTCAGCATTTCAAACTTCAAAAACCTTGAATGAGATAAGATCCCCTCTAAAAAGTTTCTCAATTTCATCTTTCAATCATTTTTGTAGTTGTAAGGGAACGGCTCATGGGGTAGAAAGCCTTTTTTGGTCATAATATTACAAATAAAAACCATCAAAACAACAAAAAAATTGAAAGTTTTACCCTTGGAAAGGTCGTCCTTTCGGCTGGGAGTACATTCCAACAATTTTCCATGATCGCATACCTTGAAAAAATCACTTTGAAGGATTTTTCCGATTAAAAGTCACAAATTAACGGTATTCAAAAGCTTTGCGTTTTTTTTTCGCGTCCGGAATAATTCCGGGATACTCAAAATGGCCATCAGAAAAATTCGAAGGGTCAGAGATAATTTCGAATTTCTCAAAATCACTTCAAAAACGGCTTTTACAACATAATCTCCTATTTTTCTTTAAAACTCACACTTCATTGGGACATTTCTCCGGTTGCGGTAACCTATTGCCACCTTCCAGGTGAGAGATCATATCCGTCGGTTGGATGGCCGGATAGGGACTTTCTCCCAGGGAAAAAAGTTCGAAGAGAAGAATGGCAAAGGACCAACTGAAAAAGTAAAATTTTGGTCCATTAGGAACGAAAAAAGATGTGGTCTGCCTGCGCTCCCCATCAACCAGGCACTCTTTTTTTTCGTGTCAGGACCCATTCTCGATGGCTCAAGCCAGCCGTGAATCAACTATATCTATTCTTTGAATGACAGTTTGTGCGTAATGTTCAGATTTTAAACGTCAAGGCGTCAAGCTCCGCCTCTAATGGCCTGGTGAACCAATCAGAGAGCGAGCCACTCACAGAGCGATTTCGAATGACGTCATGACAACTCACACATCACTGCTGCTGGTGAACTCGTAGTACTTTAAAGATTCGATGGCCATCCATTTTATCGGCAGTCGTCCGCCTCGGGATGTGTACAAACTGGTGCTGAGTTGACGGCATAATCCAAAATCGCTAATCTGAATGAAAAACGACAAAATTAATCTGAAAAAAAAGATCGAATACAGGAAAAAAATCGTCCCAAGAAACATTTTTCGTTAGATGCTTGTTCATAGGTCGGAAGGAAAGATTGTAGCCTGTGTACCACGATTTGAAATTTCAACGAACGACATTCCGCTGTGCCGCTGAGCGCCTTTGCGAACCTTGGTCGCTCTTTTAATTTTTCCCTTTTATTAAGGTACTCTACTTTCATATGCTCCCACAGCAATAACCATCAATTGAAAGCGTGACCTAGATTCGAAAGACGCTTCGCGAACGCACGCAGCGGAACAGCGGAATGTCGTTCCGTGAAATTTCAACACACAAACTATATTTAAATGTGGTTCAAAAAATGTGAGTCAAAATACCGTAAAATTTAGAAAAAAGAACATATTTCCGTTTAAAGCAGTGTTTAAAAGAGCAAGTCTACATGAAAATGGACATACTGAAAAAACGCCGATTCTCAAAATTTCATCTCAAGGAAGGAAATAATCATCATAATAAATAGGATAGCGATTTGTCAAATAAATTACTGAATTTTCAAGGGCTAAGTAACTTTTCCTGCCGATGCGCGCAGCCTACCTCTATGTATGCGCCTTTAACCTAAAGTCTAAATTAAAGGCGCATGCACAGTGACAAGTCACACGCTCGGAGGCAAATAAAAATTGCGACAACTGGCGTGAAACGGGATATACCCCACATTACCAGTCTTTTAAGATAAAGAACCGAGAAAGTTGGCCTTTTTCCGGCCAGAATATTTTTTTTCCATTCATTTTTCTTACCTTGGCCACTAGCGTATTTGTGATGAGAACATTTCTGGCGGCAAGGTCTCGATGAATGAAATTCTTCGACGAAAGGTAGACCATCCCGTCGGCGATTTGCCAAGCGAACGAGATCAAATTCTTCATTCGGAGGCACAAATCCACATCGATCGGGCAGACGTCGTCCCGATCCTAAACTTTAGAGGTCCTTATCAGATGAGAAAAGGTCGGAAACCATTAATAAATGATCCTTATGCTTTCGGATGAATTTGAGAAGATCTCCATGGGCACAATATTCGACGACGATCAGCGGATCAATGGGATTGCTCACACATCCGAGCATGCTTGAAAAATATCGGAATTAGCGTTGAACTCGAAAAAAAAGTTCAAAGCGGCAACGAAACTTTCCTAGTGCCTTGTAAGCCATTTCTTCAAAATGTGTTCCCTTAGAAAGGAAAAGATCTCTTTGAATAAGGTTGGAAGAGAGAAACTTAGTTAAAAATTGAGATCAGAACTACAAACTTAGTTAAATTACATTAAATCGAAACAAATCTAAATCGAAGTAATTTTTTTCCCAAATTTTAACGCATGTCAGCAGCAAATTTGACAAGATAGCTTTGTTCAATCGTTCAATCAATAAATAAATTTATCAATCAATCAATCAATTTTTCTCGTTTCAGTCATGGAAATAATCTTACGGTAGCTTTTATTCCTATTTTTTTTTCAAGTGACAGGGACACCCTTTACAGATTTTCTGATTTCTCCAAAAAATGAGCTCCAACCTGACGACATGAGCGTGATAGCCCAACTGCTTCATGAACTCGATTTCTTGGAAAGATTCCAAGCGATTCGAGTCGTCGGCATGGCTTGGGAGCTTTTTCACGGCCACCACAGTACTTCCGGTCGAATACGAGTCCATGACAAGGTTCAGGTTCGGATTGACCGTCAGGACGGGGATTCTTCCTGGAAAATTCGTCCAATTGGCTCAGTTCCTAAAGTTTCTTTTTGTTTCATTTTTGGGAACTGTTACATAATGTTTAATCAGAACCTATTAGAAACAGTGATGTTTTCCGAAAATTCCTCGGCGAACTTTATCCAAAATCTTTAAAATAAAAACGCCATAATGCACCTAAAACCATTATACCGCTCTAAAATCGGGAATTTTCGTCGTTTTCAAAGAAATTTTTATGGATGTAAAGACGAAAATTTCACAAACTTTGATTTTCAGCGTCTCAAAAAAGTTGCTGTTGCTTCAAAATTCTCACCATCAATATTTCCTATGAATCCTTTTTTAAAAAATTCATTTTAAAACAAGAAAAAAAAGGCTCGAGCTTTAAAGTTTCAGTTCATTTGAATTATTCATATATTCATTTGAAAGTGAACTTTTTATCCAGCCTATCCAATTTGATTCTAACTTTTGTGTTTATCAATAATTTTCCTTTTTCCTTTCTCCATTTTCATACATGCAATGATCGGAAGACCTAAAAAAAAAAATTCAATTTTCTTTTTATCAATCTAGAACTCAAATATTACATCCTTACCTGCCAAAGTCCCTTTGTAGACGTTGGAAAAAGCGCCACTGCCCAGCAAAGAATCGTGCAAAATCGTCAAATCCCTCGGTTCGATCTCCCAATCGTCTTTCTTCGAAGCCACCGCCAATAACAAGTCCGTATAGAGGTTTTTCGCCTGATCTTTCTTTGCTCGCTCGCCGAGTAATCTTAAAAAAATTCTATTGGTTACAAATAAACACTTGATATCAATAATATTCTTTTTAAAAAAATCGTTCATAATTTCAGGTCAAATTTTTTTATATTGAATGGCTTTCTTTCAAAAATTATCACCAAAAAAAGGTTCAAAAAAATAATAACTTAAAAAAATTTTTTTCATGATTATCAGGACGTGATTCATGAACAGAAAGTTATGAAAAAAATTATTTTTTTCGAATAATTTTACAAAAAAATTTTGTTGGAATCATATCGCTAGAGTCTTTGAAAGTATAAAAAGCATCGTAAAAATTGAAAATTATTGAAAATTACCAAAAATAAAATCACTTTTTTTTTAAATTTTTCCCTAACTATCCGTTTTTCATTTAAATTAGCTTATAATGTCTGATAATTGAATGAAAAACCATTTTCATTTCATTTTTCATTTTTTTTGTTAACCCACAGTCCTTAAATCTTTGACCTAACACGTAAACACGTAATGTAAACTTTTTTTTTCAAGAAAAGACAAAAATTCCCTTCATAAAGCATAAGACAATGAAATGGAACCGAACCATTTTTGCCAAGATTTTTAAACAGAGAAAAAACGAACTGAGTTCCGAAAATCTGCATTCTCAGCCGCTGTACACTTTTCTTGTACCGAAGGCACATGGCGATAATAATAATCACTGCGATAAAGAAGCACGGGAGGACAATTATCAATATCCTGCCTGAAAAAAAACCTCTTTTGTTATTTTTTCGTTTCAATCCAACCAGTAGTATTCAATCCACCGTTGTCCGCAGCACAAGTGACTGCAGAATTCGCGGCATTAGAAAGTGAAGTGATATTCGGGCCATTGCCATAAATATTCATATCACAGAGAGCCGACGACCATTTTGTGCAGTCCGTGAACAGCAACTGCAGGCAGGCTGAAAAAAAATAGAATAAAAATACTTGTGCGAAAAAACTGTCAACGGAGAAAAAGGTGAAACTTGTTTCAAAATCCAACAAACCATTTCCAATGTAAATAAAAATAGTCTTAAAAAGATCCTTTTTAATGATAATAGAAAATGCATTTTACATCTTTTCTAATTTTTTAGCTTTTTTCCAGATATTCAAAAAGTGATAACACCATAAATATCGGAAGTAAAATTTGAATTTAGGCGTCGAATAACTTCAAACCAACCGTATCATCAATTTTTCTATACGTATAAGTAGCTTTTTAAAGCATAAAAATATGATAAAACTCATGGAAAAATAAACATCGAAAAAAAATTTTTGTGGTTTATTCGCCGTGGAGCAACTTTGCTTTCCCAGACCATTCCGAGCATTTATCTTCTAAACGCGCGGCCTATCTTCGTTCATGCGCCTTTGAGATCGCCTAGAGATTTCCGTTATTTTAAAGGCGCATGCACAGAGACAGGCCACGTGTATCAAAGGGAAGAGTTATGTAGTTCGGCGTAAAATCGTGACAACCTAGAAACGGAAACGGCTATACAATCATTTTTCTTCAGGGTACAAGAAAACTAACGCAATTGGGCGTTATCGTTGGCCATGTACAAGTAGCGGACGATGAAGTTGCCCTGGTCGAGGATCGACGCCGTGTCGCCGCTGTTCATCATCAACCTCCTGCTCTGACAGAACTTCAGGCAGTCCGAATTGACGAACACGAACACGACGGCCCCTTCGCCGTTCACAACTCGGTTCGAGTAGATGTCATTGTTCTCCTATTACAAATAAGAAATATTGAAAATTTAAATGGAATTGTAGTTGGACGAAAAAATGGCAAACTTTATCTAGACTTTTAACTGTGTTTTTGGCGCCAGCTCAAATTTTCTCATCAGTGCAAATCTTTTACTTCTTTACTTCAATTTACAATATAATTTACTATTTATTCGGTGTGAATGAATAATTTTATCAACAGGAAACGTGATCGTAATCAAAAATCTAGGGAAACGTGAAAAAATTCTCGCGGGATACCTTATCAGCGTTTTTTGAAGCATCTCGCAGCGAAAGCGCAAAGATTTCTAGGTTTACGGTAGCTTTTTTTTGTGTTTGGAAGCGTGAAAAACTCTCATCGTTTATAATATGTCTTACTCAATCCAAACAGATAAATTCATCCTTCAAACTCACCAACAACCTGATGAGTGAGGCCAGCACATCACCGGGATCATCATTTGGCTGTAGAAAAGCCGTCAATGGCAAACTATTGAACACTTTTTGCTGCTCATTCGACCCGATCTGAAACTTGTCATCCTTGAATTCTCTTTATCTATCGTCCAAAAAGTCAAGTTCCATCAGAACGCTTTTTTCTGACAGTTTGATAAGCCACCCCCAGCCTGGCGTTATCAACCATTTTTTTCTTCGATTTCCTATTTTATTCAAAAATGATGTCCGACGACGCCGAGTACGTTCCAGGTTCATTTTTTTTCTCAGAAAGAAGTAAAGAAGTTTGAAAATTTCCAGCGCAGATTAATAGATATTCACTTTCGGCTGTGAAAAGACGACAATCGGAACCAGTTCCGCATAATTCAAGGCTTTCGGAACAGAGTTTTAGTGGTTATCACGTGAGTCTCAAGGAAATTTTCTTGAAAAATCGATTTTAAGCTCCGCGGCTTTAAACCATTCTACTAACCACCGAACAATTCAAAAAAATTTCAAAATTTCAAATCGTAGAAAGATTTTTAAAAAAAGGCCACTTTTTTGAACGCCCTCTGATTATTTTTACACAATTTTTTCGCGATTTTCCAACACCTGGGACTGAATTAAGGACTTTTTAGGATCAACGAACAAGTTTCGATGATGAAAGGATGAACAGAGCGGCTATTGCCGAACAAATCAAGAGGAATAACGAACTGATTGAGAAAATGTCGCCGGTCGTCAAGTATAAAGTGGGTTTTTAGAGGCTTTTTCATAGTTTTAGTCTTCCATAAAAAGGATCCTAAGAAAAATGAACCCTGGTGTCCATGAAAAGAAATGTTTTTTTAGAAAATCTAACCAAAGTTTTTTTATTTAAAGGAGCATAGCGATTTCCAAGAAGGTCTCAAGACGAAGAGGCCTTTGAGAAACGCTTCTTAAGCATCTTAGGAAGGATTTATGAGCAAAAATAGTAAACTTCAAATATTTAATTCTGGAAGAAAAAACTACAGAAACGTCTGAACCTCTTATTTTCGCACACTCTTTCGCTAATCTCACTTACTCTGATTCACTATAAATGATCTATAAAAACCAATCCCATTTCCCAAAAATCGCCTCTTTTCCCACAAGTGACCTCTCAACCCCCGCCTTATGAAACTGGTATCATACGTCACTGGAGCCCTTCAACTTGACAGCTGGAAAAAACCATAAACCCCCGAAATTCTTCTTCAATCATCATATCAATCGATCCCACGAGCTGGTTCAGATTCAGGAGTTCATCCGGAAGCAACGGAGCAAAAAGCATCAGAGAAGGAAGTTCTCCCTGGCCTGCGGCCTTCAGAATAACCCGCAGAAGAGGTCGAGTCGGAACACGAGGAAGGAGCCGCCTCGCCACGCCCACTTCAGAAGACCCGCCCCGCCTCCTCCACCTCCTCCTCAACAGGTCATGCCGGTCATGACGTCACAACCGATGCCACCTATCCATCTATCACCCCACAATTCCTTCCATCACTATGCTATTTTGGACGATTTGGAGTGATTTTCGAGCTTCGCCAATGATCGAAAGTGCGCTCCAATGAGAATGGCGAAACTTTTTCTCGAATTTCGGTTATCCTTTGTTTCCAGCTTTGAGAATGAGCTTCAATATGAGAGAAACAAGTATTTTTGAAGGTTTTTTTGAGGCAAAACATGACATTTTTCACGATCTTGAAACTTTCTCATCACTTGAAAGTACGCTCCAATGAAATATTTGTGAAAAAAGTAGTTTAAAAAAATCTTTTGACCTTGTTAAAAAATAAATTTGACATTTGGCATATTTTCTTTGGTTTCCAACGCTTTTTTCTAATGGCTAATTCAAAAAAGCTCAAATTTGAGGATTTTCTCACTGGAGCACACTTTCGAACGTGAAAGAGCCTTTTTTCAATATTCAACTTCTTCTTCTTTTTTTTTCTGGCCGGTCCTTCCCATTATCATTTTCTATCATCAATTCTGTATATTTTTCTTAAAGATGGGTCCTTTTTTGTAATAACCCGGGTTTTAAAATCAATAAATATGAAATTGAACAACTCACTGAGTACATCGGAACCGTCTGATTGATATCTCTGGCCAGGTCCGGCGTGAAAACTTGCATTTTACTCTTGGAATTGCAATTGACGGCTGCCTGAAGAATAAAAAAAGATAAAGAATGATAAAAAGTATAAAATTCGTAATGATGTTCGCACTCGGAATGTCTTTTGACTTACGAAGAAAGTTTAAAAAAAGAAATTCGATTTTATTTTTAAACTTTTTTTCTCTTTTTTTAAAAAAACGTTCAGCAGATAAAAATAAACAAAATTGACAATTTTTACTCCAATCATGAGAATTTACGATTTACGAAAAAAACGAAGAAAAATTCGAAAAAAATCTCGAAAAAAACCATATTCAATTCGAGAGACTAAAAATTGAAGTTCGCGGTTTTTTTATATTTAAAACGACTTTTAACATTATGGTCGCACTCGGTTTGGCTCTACGCGAAGAAAAAAAAAAATTACAGAAAAATCGAATTCTTTTTGATTTTTCTGTAATTCTGTAAATAAAAAAATCATACTTCATTATTGAAAAATTGTGAAAACAGTGAATTAAAATCTGTATTTTTAGGCCCTCAACTTGGCCTCTTTTTCGAAAAAAAAAAGCATGAAAAAAAATCAGCGATATGAAAAATTTCCCCGTTTCAAGTTTGAAACAAAAGCATGAAAACATGGTTATTAGTAATCTTTGACCCATTTCGTCCAGACTTGTCTAGTGTTTCCGAAAATACATCCGAAAATAAACAGTTTTCAGACACTTTCAAGGTCGGGGAGAACAGTCTATAGGTCTTATTCATAAAACTTATTCGAAAAAAATCCTTTTTTTATTTTATTTTTTTGAGATCTGCTTTAATACAACGTCGAAAGAAGCTCTTCGTTTCAAAATTTTTTTTTCGATTTTTGAGCATGCTCTTTTCAAAGGCATAGGGGCAGTAAAAAACGGTGTTTCAGTTCGAAGCAGTACTTTGTAGAGCTTTTACATTGCGAATCGAAGGGTGAACTTGGAAACGTACAGAAGTTCTTAGTTTTGGAGAAAAAATTATTTAAAGTCGGAGAGACGAAAGTTCGAGTTCCCGCGAAAAGGGCGCTTTGCAATAAAGATGCTCTATGGACAACACGCTTCGCCATTTTTCCGATTTTCGCTTTTTTCTTGATTTCTTTCGAATTTCAACTTTTTCTGTTGTCACCAAAGTTCTTTTTCGTCCTTGAAAATTTCTATTTATGAGAAACTTTTTCATTGTCAAAAATAATTAGAACACGTACTGAAAAACCTACAATCCTCTTACTAACATAATTAATTGTATTTTCAAAAAATTCATAACTAATCCTGATGAAAAGAGAGAGCCGAAAAAAGCTTAAAATTCAAGATTATGCGTGAAAATTGTGGAAGTTCGCGTGTAAAAGGCGCAATTTCTACGTGAAGCGAATGAAAATTAGGATTCATAATTGGAAAAAAAAAGTCGAGAAAACAAACCTTATTCAAAAAATTGGTGATACTATTGAGGAGGGCGATGGGTTGGGGCGTATTGGCGTCGAGCATGACTATGCTGGCGATTCGCCAATATTGGCAAGAATCGGCTTTTGGGTAGTTCACTGCAATAAAATTCGATGAATAATTTATTGCTGTGCGGAATAATTTTGAAAAAAATAAAAAAAGGATAAAAAAATACGATTTTGTACATCTTTTTATTGGATACAAAGTCGATGACTGGGAAAAATATTATTCAGAGAAAAAAATTCAAAAAAGAAAAATCTGTAGAATAAGCTCAGAAACTCCGCCTTTTTTGAAGATGTTTTTTGATTTGTCTAAGTTAAAATTATTTGCTTTTTTTCTCATAAATGAGCATGAATTCACAGTTATTTTTTTGAAAATATATTCATTCCGTATTTTTTTCTGCTCATGTCTTGAGTAAAGGCAAAGTAAAAGCAAAATAAAAAAAAAACACTGCAGGAAAAAAAAAATGCTACTATAGCGGCCACTTATGGGTCGAATATTAACAACATTTTTTACATGAAACTTAAAGGACTTTTGTAGAAATTACGAGAAGAGTTTTTAAACTTTTAAAAAAGGTCATTTACGAGACTCTCGAATGGCTTTTAAGGGACTACTAGAAGTCAAAAGAATAAACTAGAGACTACTATAGTGGCCTCTTATGCGTAAAACATTTTCAGGATCATTTATGAGACTCTCAAGGGGTTTTTTTTAGAGACAACTAGAAAGGAAAAAAAAGCAATATACTACTATAGCGGCCACTTATGAGTCGAATATTCACAAGATTCTTTATGGGACACTTAATGGACTTTTGTAGGGACTACTAGGAGCTCTCTCAAAATCATTTTCCAACTAACATTGGCATATCGTCGTCGCAAACTGGCTAGCTTTGGCTTCCCGATTGAAACTCGTTTTCCAAGGTCTCTGCATGCAATAGTTGATCGGTCCTGAACTTGTTGTACTACCGGAGTACAGCTGAAAGCAGAGAAGTAGGTAGAAAACGAAGACTTTCATTTTGTGCCATGAAAAAATTCTTGATGAACCAAATTAAGATCCTGGAAGTCTCAACCTGTAAAACTTCCTAGTTTTTGAGAAATGAGAGCTCAAAGCCCTGAAGTGGCCTATTTTAAAGGAAAATCAAGAATTTCAAAGTTTCCTGTTTCAAAAATTAGGTAGTTGTGAAGGTTGAGACATCTCGGACTTGGCATGCTGGAAAGTGCGCGCTGTGCGCACTCTTTTTCTCGTGCGCACGTAAGGAAAAATGCGCACTCTTTTTTTCAAATTTTGTACAGGAAATTGCGCGCTCTTTCTAACATCAGGAAAATGCGCACGGTTATCAAATTCCGCTCTTTTCAAGATTGAAGTCCACATAAACCATCTCACTTTTCTCTTTGTCATGAAGAAATCTTTCAGCTAAAGATGAATTGAACATCTTTTGATTATTTGATAATTTATGGAGAATATTTCTTATCAGGAAATGGTCTGCGGTCACTTCGGAATGAGACCAGGTGTATTTTTGCAAAAAGTGAGATGCTCTCTTTTGAGACCAAGCTGATTCCAAGCTTGGTCTCAAAAGCTGCCGCGAAAATCTGCTAAAAAGTGAGATGCTCTCAAAATATACAGATCTTTTCCATCTGATAACATTAAACAATACAGGGTGGAGGAATAATTACTGCGACAAAAGTTTTTTAGCATTTGCTCTCGCCGACCCGAGCTCATTTTTGTTCCAGTCATTATTCCTACCTTCATCAAGCCTTCTTCTATAATATGATGACCGCCGTGCCACGCTGACTTTCGGAAAAGTCGTTTCTGCCTTTTGGGCGTTTATGGCAAAGCAGGCAGGCTTGGCTATGAAGGCCTGAAGCCCCCTAGCCCTTGATTTTTTTAATTTCGAAAAAAAGCGCGGGCTCGGGCCAGAGATTCAAGAAACTTTTTTTATTTCATTAAAAAAATTTTTCACCGAAAAAAATTATTTTTTTACATGTTTAATCACATTTTTTTAATAACTCAATGAAGAAAAAAATAAGCAAAAAAACCCCGCTTTTCTCGTTAAAACAGCTAAAAATTTCGAAATGAAGAAAAATTTGATTATTCGATAAGGTCGCCCTGAAGCTCAGTTTGAACGTATTTTTTTAAGGTTTCGATTCTCGAAATTGATAACGATTCACGTCTATGTAAGCCTGTCAATTGACAGGAATCGATTGAAGGAATTTTTTTCCGAAAAAAATAGACATGTGTCTCTACTTGGCACGCTGTTTGGATGCTCTTCATAGGCGAATCGAGAAAGGTTATCGCGAGACCCTCTGAGGCATATCGCAGGGTCTGAAGCCTATCGATGGTAACCCGAGTATACCTCTGAGGACTTTGAGCAAAATGAGATAGACTTGAGGGAGACTCTAAAGTACCTCCGAGATAGCTCCGATATAGCTAAAAGGTATGCTGGAGGTCTCACGATGGACACATTATGGGGCCTTCACGATCCATTTTGAGAGGAATTTTTTGTGGAAAAATAAAGGTGCCCTTCTGATTCGTCTGTGTTTGTACAGACAAAAAAAAAGTACATCATCGAAGCTCTCAAGAACGGTCAAAACCCCAGAGTATTTGCAGCAACACTCACTGTTGCTAATATTAATGATTGGGCTATTTTACTATTCTATCATCCGAAATACGCTATTTTGCTTGAAACTTCGTAAAACGGCAAAACTCAGCTTTTTCGAGTCTCTGTAAGAGATGAGGTCAACTCAGAGAGCAGTAAACAAAAACAATTTGAAAGGTGTGTACCTTTTTTTCTCAGTACCTTATGGGGTTTAGCAGATAGTATTGCCTGTTTTTTTAAGTACCCTTACTTACTAGGGAACTACTCGGACTCGGGTACGCGGATCGAATTCAAACTTTAGTGGTTTATAGACCTAAAGTGGGAACACTTGAAAAACAAGTGAGAATATCTGCTAAACCCAATAGAGAACTGAGAAAAAGTTATTAGAAAAATGTGAAAATTAGACCTGAAAAATTTTTCAGAATACTGCTTTTTACCTTATTTAATATTTTAATAAAAATCGCCTTGAATGATCCGGCTATGATAAACACTAAAAAAACTTTTTTTCCAGCCAAAAAGAAGGATGAAAGCAAAAATTTGATAGTTTTCAAGCCTAAACTGTTCATTTTCAAAAAGCTTTTTCTCAGAAGCCTATAGGGTTTAGCATATAAACTCTCTTGTTTCCAAGTACTTTTACCCGGGTCTATAAGCCACCAAAGTTTTAACTCGATCCTTGAATGCGAGTTCGCGTAGTTCTCTAGTCAGCTCAAAGCCAATTTTCGAGTCCTTATCGTAAGGTCTTATCCGGTTAGAAGAATGGAGTCTTGTTCTTTTTCTGTTATCCCATTGACTCCAAAATTTTTGAGAAACTTCAATGTGCCTCTTGTAACAGTACACACCAGTTTGCCTACTGACTTTTGGCCGTTCTGCTCAAAAACAAAAACTGATTTCGACCATCTGCGTACCGCAGTCAATTGGGTGCCACTACATTTTCGAGCGGCAGTTCATGTTAATTTTTTTGATTAAATCCCTGTAAAACTTTATAAAAAAATAATTGTGAGTTCCCGGTCTTTATTGACTATTGACAATTGACATATTGACAGCTCCTTCATTTTGTCGCAGTAATAATTCATCACCCTGTAAATTTTCTTCAGAAATATTTTTGAGCCTCGTAAGGTCCTTTCGATTTGTATTTCACATATTTCCCTTTATAATATAGTTTGTCCATATTTTTGAGTTTCAAGCAGCAATCTCTGCCCCCAAACAAAGCCTGTGAGTGGCTCGTTCTCTGATTGGTTTGATCTACACATAAGAGGCGGAGTTCGACCGATGACTTGATATTCAAATTCTGAACAAACTATAAACGCTCGACTTTGGCTTTCTTCGGAAAAATAACATTACAAAATTTAAAAAAACACATTATCACGTGAAGGGTAAATCAGTCTGACCAGTCTAGTGACCGCCTGGTATTATTATTGAAAAAGATGAATGCTGAAAAATCAGTTATATAAACTTCAAATAATCCGAAAGGACAAGATTTGATAACCGTGCGCATTTTCCTGTTGTTAGAAAGAGAGCGCAATTTCCTGTACAAAATTTGAAAAAAGAGTGCGCATTTTCCTTACGTGCGCACGAGAAAAGAGTGCGCACAGCGCGCAC